GTACGGGCCTGATTTTTTTTTCAGGTCTGATTTTCGCTATTGCTTAAATGGCGCTATCTACTGCGAGGATCGTGCATCATATGTATCTAATACCGCAGTACACAATATACGAACTTCACATATTGCATTGTATCTCAATACACAAATTTGTCGAAAAATTCAAATGTATAATGTATTACACCCAATCAAAAACAAAAAAAATTATTATGTCAAAGATTTCTTAAATTAAAACAAACCTGAAAACCAAAGCAAATAATAGGAATGGCAGCAAAGGCCTGTGTCCAACTCCAAGATGGGTCTTTCCTAAGGAATGACAACAGAATTACTGATTCATTACTAACTATAAACTAATGACTAGCTTATAAAATTCTTTACAGGAAGGGTGCATGCCAAGACTTTTTATGTCATCAATCCAACTATTGTTACCAACAGTAATAATAAGAGCAGTTTTCAGTAGAACAGTCGCAGACCAAACTTCTACAAAAACAAAACAAGAGTGGATTATTTTCAACAAGCAACTTACAATACTTACTTTTCATATTCTTTACTATCAGTGTGATGCCCTTCAAAGTATTTTATGGCAGTTACTATACAAACAAAAAGTGCCCCAACTGTTCCAAGAGCACTGAAAATAAATGATACATTAACATGTCACCAAAAAAATGCAAAAATAGGTGAACAAATAAAATACCTGAATTAAAATGACACATTGTAAGCATGTAATTGATGGAAACCAAACTTGCCAACTTTGAGTGAGGCTTTACGGCATTTGGACAATTTTGTAAATATTACCTAAAAAAGTATTGCCTCGTGTCTTTAAAGCGTCACTTCAGAGTAAAATTTGAGATAATTTAACACTCACAAAAAAGTGGAAGGGAAAGAGGTAAAAAATGATTGTCATAGACCAGACAAATTTCTTTTCATGCATTTTGTACATGTACAAAATTTGCATGTTTCAGTTGCCTCTTGCTTCTTTTAGGAGTCAACAAAACCCCGCTTCAAGTTCCAGAGGGCAAAAATTAACAAGAACTCTACAACCCAAGTTGACAACAGCCTACACAAAATTTGATTCAACTATAAATTATTCACAAATAAACACATGCATGCCCCAGTTGTTCAAAGGCTGGATAGGATGAATGCCATCTATACTAGATAAATCTCTAACTGGCAGATCAACACTAATCCATCTGTTGATTAATGTGGCGTTATACCCGCCCTTTGAACAACTGGGTCAAGGTCGTCCTAATCAAAATACCTTGAATAACTGAGAACTTTCAAAGTTTTTGGAAGACACAAAGGCAAGAGGAAGAGAATGCACATGGCACACATGAGAAATTCCCGACTTAAATACCAGCCAGGCGAAGAGTCAATAGCCTCTCCAACTAAAAATGTAAAATAAAAAGTGTCGTGTTAGCACCTAAGGTGCATGCTCCATCCTGCATGCTGTGGGTTTTGCTAAGTGAGACCCTTGATTCTATAAGAAATTGACTACGCACATATACATATTTTATATTTGTATTGGGTACATTTGTCACTCAAGTGGGAAAAAATATGAAGTGTGAAGGCTCTCCTACACTGCATTGTACAATAAATTGAGTCTCCATAGTAACCTTTTTCGAGTCTCTGCATGGTGCCAATAAAAATTGTTTTTGGTATGCTAGTATTTGACCAAATCTCATAATGTCCTGAAGCCTCACATCTCAACACAGGTGGCCATCTTGTCTGCCACAAAGACATAACCCATTAACGAAAAAATTCAGCCCTTGTACCCAAAGGTATGATTAGATCACTGAACATTTTCATTTATGGTCTTAAGCAAAAGGATCAAAACCATGCTTAATGCCATGATAACAGTATGAAAAGGAAATCACTTATGACTCGGATGTGACACATCAATTTACTCACCTTTCTCCAGTTGATCACCAATCAAAATCATATATGCCACAGTAGAACCAAACATGTACAACATGATGACTATCTGCGTTATAATGTATGCCCCTGGACCAAGAACCTCACGGATTATCTCTTGAAAATTCTGTGAGCCGTGGTTTTCAGCGCAGTATGCTAGGATCAGGAATGCTCCCGTAATAAACACCAATAAACACTGTGAAAGATAAAAAATTAACAACAAAGTATTACAAGACTTCTGATTCACCATCAAATAGAAACTTACCAATAGAGGGGACATTGTGCAGCTTGCTTAACAACAGACTGTATAATGTTTTACTTTTCAGTTTGCACTTGCCATGTGATTTATGCTACACTGAGATTACATACCAGGCAAGAATACACTCAATCAGCATAAAGAAAGTTCAAAGTGGTGAAATTCCTTCCTTGATCTAAAAGGTAGGAGCAATTTTGAACAGAAACAACAACAATGGTGAAAAATTAAAATTACAGCACAGAATACAGGGAGATGATTTCTGTTGGTCTCTGCCTTTTTAATGTGAAATTGCAGATCATGGCACAAGCCTCTGATTATTTAGCCAATATGCCTCTACATTTGAAGAAAAGAGATATTCTGATAGTCTTAAAGGTTTTGGTAACCTCAAAACAGCTATGTAACACCTTCCTTTGATGAGCTTAAAGCTTGCTTGCAGGTCATTCACTATGTCCATATTTTCACCTTGGTACAAATAAACTAGCTGCAAAGACCACCACAACAACTGTGATGATGAGGAAAGAAGTTATTTGCCTTGTCATTAGTATGGAACAAAGCAAAAATCTGGGTTTGACATTAAGAATGAAACCATAATTATGCCTTTAGACTTTGTACCACTGAGCAACAAAAAGACACCATGGTGAGCTATGCTATTATTGGCCTATGTTACTCCTACCCTATGTACAGCCAGGATGGATGGATGGATGGATGGGTTAGATGACCACTCCCCACGGGGCTTTTCAGGGCCATTCTTACAATACTATGCGGGGGACTTTGCCAGACTGCTAGTAGCAGTTTACAACGAATCAAAGGAAGTTGAAGATGCTCCCTTCCCCCAGGCAATTCCCAGTAAACAGGCCAGACCACATCACAGTTATCTTGTGATGTGGGTTCTTTAATGTCTCTTGCCGAAATTAACTTATTGATAGATGGAGGAGACGGGACCTCCGGCTTTAGGTCTTATCCGAGAAGACGAAGCAACGTGAGTGAAGCATCTTGCTCAAGGACACAACGTCAAGCCCCAGCCAGGACTTGAACCCAGGCCAACTGACCCAGAGTACAGCGCACTGACCACTGGACTACACATGTTCAAAGCATTGTTTGTGGTAGGAAAATGAGGAAGATGACGAATTTTGAGCCTTGTTACTGAATTAAAAAGATGATGTAGGACGAAGAAAAATACGAGTCCCTCAAGAAAATTGAGACAGAAAAAAAAGGGTTATTTTAATTTAAGTTGATGATAGCATGTTAATGGGACATTCCATTTAATATCTGCACCCCCTATTGAAGGCCTGGGATTTCTTAGGGGGAGGGGGGGGTCAATGCTATATTTTTTCTTAGGGGGGTTGAACCATATTTCTGAGAGGGGTCGCCATAAAGTACCCTTGACAGAAATTCTCACGAGTAGTTTCTGAAGGGGGTAATTTCAGGCAATTCTGAAGGGGTTAAAAAATTTCTTTTCTGGAGGGGTGTTACAGGAAAGCCTTCAATAGGGGGGGTGCAGATTCTCAATGGAATGGCCCAATGCATCAATGTAAAAAAATCAGGTTCGTGATTTATCGTTTTCATCGCTAATAATATAACGTGATTTATCGTTTTCATCGCTAATAATATAACGCTCACCATTTGAGCCGTAAGAGCGGTGGTAATGCCTCCACATTCTGCATATGCTTGAGGAAAGTTCAAAATTCCAGCACCAAGAGCTGAATTTACCACCAAAAGAGCTGCTCTCCAAATGGGTATACCCTCCGTGTAATGATTTTCAGCCGGTGGTTGGATCACTGAACGAGATTTAAACACACCAACACTTGAAGTAGTGTCTAGATCACTTGCTGCACCTGGCTGATTAAGCATCGTTACTTCACTGCCACTGTAGTATGGACTTTCATAGCGCCTTCCTTGTAGGTTCCTTTTGTCAAGAAGAGCTTGTTGTTCCGACAAATCGAGGCTGTGGGTCATATTCCCTTGGGCTCACGAATTCTTAAGACACAAAGGACAAGTGAATATTGTGCAATCGCTGTTTCGTGTTTTCTGGGTAACTATTTTTGGCTTCAATAATTTCTATATTAAACAAATCTGCACGTGGATCGACAATGTATCCGGTTCAGCCGGTAAATCAGATGAGCCGGTATCCCGTCGACTAGTTAAAGATTTACGCAACCACGAAATTTCCCTTCGCCGGTATAGCAGGATTTAAGATCTCTCGAGTGAATGAAGGAATGAAGCACTTACTCTGTCTAATAACGAATAGTAAATAACATTAAATGTGGTCTACCGAGATGAAAGTCGCACAATTGAAATAGGACGGTCTATTGTCGCAGTAAACTCAGTAGGAGAAAGGAAGGGTGTTGATCAATTGTGCCCATGACGTAATATCCACATCCATTCTTGCACCATTTTACGTTTCTCAGGCGAGTGAAATGGTGAGAGAGTAACTTTGTTGCAGTGGAAGATGATGAGATTTAACGAAGAATTGAGAAAGCTGCGCGATAATGCACGTTAGGACAAGAACAGTCGACGAACAGAATCCCCTTCTCTCGAAACCGCTGGATCTCGTGACGTGACCTTGGGAATTTCGGTAACCTCAATCCCGCGCCCCTTTCCCGCCCAAATCGACAGCACCCTCGTAACCCTCGTAAGTTAATGCCGAAAGTTTTCCTCTCAATATTTGACAGTATTTTTGTCTTTTCTATCAAAATCTTCAGTCAAGAAAGATTATTTACACTGGAAACAAAAGTAAGCCTCCTTAAACTATGACTTAAAGATGGAGCTTGGACAAACTCTAACATGAGTTGGTGAAGGCTAGTGCCAGTACCAAACGGGACTAATCTAAGATGGCGGATGAAAGTTGCTCAAAACGGTTCAAGAGGTCTGATGGTGTTAAAATGGTGACTTGTCAAGCCCCAGTCAATATTGCCATCATAAAATACTGTAAGTGAGATGTAATCAATTGAAAGATAGCCTTCAGGTGCTGTAAAAATTCAGTACGTATTTTCTATAAAACAAAAATGATAAAGAAATATATATAGGATGAGGACTGAAATGTAATAGAAGTTAACATTGTTCATGTTGCAGGGGGAAAAAGAAACGAACAGCTTATTCTACCTTTAAATTCTTCACTTAGTGTAACTCTTGATAAGAAAGAGGTAACGTAAATTTCGATTATTTTTGTTGTGTGCAGTGCCGATCCAGACCCCCAGCTTGAGCTAAGTGGGGGGGGGGTGTACACCCACGGGCTTTTCCTCCCGCTTCAGTTAATTTTTACCCAAAAAAGGGGGTCTGAGGGACCCTCCCCTAGATCTCCCACTGGTCACATAACTGTCATAAACAGTATAATATCATGGCTTGTTCCCTGCCATAATATAGTATGGTCAGAGAAAAATCTACTCAAACAAATTAGATAGTTTCTTTGGAAACACATGTGTGCTGTGTTGGCAAAGACTTGAAAAATGTTGATCAATATCAAGGAGTTAATGTGATAAATAAACTGCAGTAGCAAGGTTTGAAAAGCTGATGTCTTGAAGGAGTGAAAAAAGGGCCAATGGTGGTAAATAAGCTCTGCATCAATCAAAATGACAAGGGACTCAGAACTAGTACATTGCAGCATTTGGAAACCCATACCAAAGATATTTGGCATAACCAACACTTAATGCATAGCTAGCAGCTACACTAAGAATAAAAGTAGATAAAAAATTTTATAACAACACGTAAATGACTAAAGATCAAGATGAATTATTAGGAATTGTAATCTATGGTTTGATTCTACTTTAGCTACATTCTTCTACAACTGTTGCTGTTAGTGGGGATTTTCCTGAAGATTGTCTTTGGCTCAATGGAAGGTTTGGTTGCATATTACACCAGTTTAGTTCTGTATTGGCTAGGAATTTATGAACATCTTTTAAGCAGTTAGACTCTCAATTCTCCTCACACAAGGAATCTCAGACCAATAAATATATCTTATTAACCAAGCACAAGGGCTATACTGGGAGAATATCAGCCTGAGGTCTTGACAGTACGGACCAAGCCCAGCGAGGTCCGTACAAAAAAGACCGAGGACTGATATTCTTCCAGCATGGTCCCAAGCAAGCTTGGTTAACAAGAGATTTATTATACGACTGAAGTTCAAAGGGACACAAGTGCGGTATCATTCGGGACCATTCGGGACAGTGCCCGGTCCAATACTGAGAGAATGTTGACCGCCAATAGAGCATTTTGATTGCTTGATTTTAGTTTTTGGCCCTCTGACTGACCAAGTCGTGTAATAATGCACAAGTGTGCCTTGTTTCTCATTTTGCAAATTTTAGATCTTTTCTTTTTTTAGAACTGCATTTCCATCACAATAGCTTTCCCCAGTTACCTTAGGTTGGATATCACATTCATGCAGTGTGAAACCCCCTGAAGGCTCACAGGAATTTGACAGGAACCATCAGATATTGCTTTAATCCTCAGAACCAACCCAAAGCATTCACCTAAACATCTTACTACACAGGATCACTGGAATAGTTTATTCAATAAATCTGAGCCTTGAAGAACCTGTGAGTTATTCAGTCTTTAGTTCCACAGATCTTTCCATCGCTGGATTGATGCCCCTATCTTCAACCTTTACCTTTTAAATGAAATTTTTTGAAACATAATTTTTATACAGCCATTTTGAAACTTTAGGCCATCTTCCAAAAATGTACCCTAAGTATGGTATTTAATTATTACAGAGGACTGATGTCTTATGTAAACACAGGATTTGAAGTAAAAAGGAGATCTGGATTAATTGTATAATTTTCATGGCACATGCATGTAACTTGGTTTTTTCCTTTTGTTCAGGAAGCATAACATCGCTGAAATACCACGCATTCAAAAGTGTTTAGCAGCAAGTAAGTTCTGGTTTGATTGAGTTACTGATGGATTGTTTATATGCAATTAAATAAAATTAATATATCTTGTTAGATACATTCGCTCCGATGAAGGGCTAACGCTCGAAACGTCAGCTTTTGTAATCGTTACGGTGGCCAATTTACCATTTCAACTTTGTTGATATATCCAAATTATTTCGTTACTCCCACCGATGCAGCCCCAAACAGTCACAATGAACACTTTGTTTTAAAAAACATATCAATATTCTTTTTTTCAGTGAGGAAGCTGTCACATAATGAGTCTCTTAGGGAGTGTTGTATTCATATTTGCTCACAGAACAACTTCCCTACTGCTGCAGGCCTGGCTTCATCAGCTGCTGGATATTCCTGCCTCGGTAAAGAAAGAGGAATCCTACCATTGATATTTACACACACAAAGGTTTAATCTTTAGAGACAGATGGCTTATTCTTTGTACTCATGTATACTCTTGAGTTAAGGAAGGCATACTGAGATGAAAAAGTCATACACAATGAAAAAAATAAATAAATAAAAAAAAAAATAAACTTTTATTAATAGCTAACACAATTACTGGTAACCCACTAGTTTACATTGTTGTCTGTACTAAGAAGAAGGTTTTAACTAATTGCTTAAAAATCCCCACTGGCAGGAGGCGACCAGTGGGCTATTTACAGAGCACAGCCAGAGAGTTGAACTGAGGGCAACCGAGAACAAATCCAGTGAGTGGCAGGGTGGAGGACTTGAACCCAGGCCACTGGATTTCAAGTCCAGCACCCTAACCACTCAGCCACGCTGCCTCCTTAATGATCCTCTAGGGGCTCAAAACTTCACCTCTTGATGTTGACTTAAGGGTTAAAACCATTAATCCTCTACATGCTAACACCAGTATGTATATTCTCATACGGTTCCCTCTACATTTCCTAAGGTACTGACAAGGAAAATTTGTTTAACAATCAAGATCTTTGTCAGTTTGTGATCATTTCTTTTTATTCTTGTGACCTTAATGTGTGATTCAGGGATGATGTTTATGGAGAAACTAGATGCAAGTCACTCTTAGAGGTCAAAAGGGTTGAGCCAATGCCTGAGAATTATGCTTAATATTTAATAATTAGCCTCCAGGTATTCTTTAGTAGAATAATGAAGATAATGTACTCTTTAACACGCACAGACACACACACACATACACACACACACACACACACACACACACATGTGCACACATATTCAGACTTCCCAATTTTTACATTAAGTTGTGTTGTTTGGAATGTCAATATGTATATTTTACAATCTCATCATAGTGACATTAATTTGTCTATGCAGTTTTTGCTCTGTCAAGATTACTTCAAGTTAAAGGTGATTTGTCAAGAATAGCAAGGTGAGATATTGACTGTACCTCTTCCACCAACTAACGAAACAACCACTAAATAATGATATGTACTTTTATAAATAGAAGTTATCTTGACATCATAAACTTTAAAGAGAAATGGTTTTGTTGAGACCTCAAGAAACACTAATGCTTATATCAAGATGTTCCCTTGATGACTTGTAAATTATCAAAAAGTTTTAAGGTTGCAAGACTGAAGAGTGCGAAAAATTCTGAGTGCTCGTATTTTGGATTTGTTTATTTCCCTTTTTTATTTTAATCATGGTGTTATAGGCAAGGGTCAGGAAGTGCTTGCCGCAGTGTGTATGGAGGGTTTGTTGAGTGGGAAAAAGGTGAAAAAGAGGATGGATCAGACAGCATTGCTAAGCAGGTGATCATATCATTGTTTGCCTCAAACTACCTGGACCAAGCTTAAAAAGTGGCAAAGGAATTTTCATTAGATATTTACTTGACAGCAAGGCAATTAATGGATTGAAAAAAAAAAAACGTCCATCCAATACTTTGAGAGAAATTGGAAAATTATCTGACAGAAGGGTAATCCAGTTAAGGAAAAACTTGCCCTTAATGCCATATGTGCTTTTGATTGCAAGCCTTCTCACGATGTTCTTGCAGATGAGCTGCACCTCTGATTTGTTACAAAAAAATTTTAAGAAAAAGGTGCAGCTTAATTTATATGGTTGTGGTCAGCGTACTTCTCAATTTAAGTCACAGATGATGGTTTATTTGAGGTTTGTTAATAAAATGGTGTTCTCACGACTCTTTCTCCACACATTGCAGATATCACAAAATAAACAAAAGGCTAAACAAAAGGCTAAGCAAACACATTTTCATGATGGTGCAGTAAAATGTTCAAGATCAAGGAAGAACTTTGTTATTTTAGTTTCTTGGAATATATGGAAAATATTTGACTGTGTTTTTGTTTCTCAGATTGCTGCCAAAGATCACTGGCCAGAATTAAGGGTACTCATTCTGGTGGTAAGACCACTGAGAAAAAAATTCACGATATTTACAGGTGTTATTTAAAATGAACCAAGGCATGTTGATTACTAAGTATAATAACACGTGCTTAGCCACAATGGAGGTCTGTCATCAGCTTTCAGAGCAAAATAAAACGGATCCAATAATTTTGTGCTTTGGCTTTACATGTTTCATACACACTGCCTAATTGTGCCTTCACAGGCATTTTGGATCCTTAAGCAATTATTGTTTTAAACTTAAGTAGTGAGCAGCAATCTGTGAACCGTAGTTGAAAAACGTTTTTATTCTCTGAGGTCGTAGATTTCTTCAGGGAGTTTTACAAGTAACACTAAACGCCTGCATTTATAGCCGTAGTTAGCGGCTATTACGGGAGCCAATGGCCATAAACGGGCTTAGCTGAACCTACGAACAGGAGCAGGCGTCCTTCTGTTTTTACGTTGTACCGTTCAAATTTACGCTTAAGTTTTTTACCCAAAATGTCAATTTCAGTTTGGCACTTAGCTGTGATATTCATGGAGCCCAAAATGTTCTCAGTTTAAAAACATGCAAAGCACCTTTTTTTGTGTAATTGATATTTGACTCTATTTCACACCTGAATTATAGGTCAATGAACTCAAAAAAGGCACAAGTAGTACTGATGGAATGAAGAGAAGTGTAGAAACCAGTGATTTACTTAAGGTATGAAATGACAACTTTTCACGCCTCAGTTGGGATTGAGTGAACATTTGATGCAACATGTCCTTCTCCTATTAAGGATGTACAGCGGTTAGTACAGAAACAACAACAACAACAACAACAACTTTATTTGTATCCAACATAAAAAATACTGATATAAAATGATGATAAATTGACAAGAATATAGAGGAGTACTAGCTGCCTCAAATAACCATAGTGGCTAGAAGAAAAGGGCAGCTATACTTAGGTGATTTATGTAATGTAATTATTTGGGTCAGATATAACACACAACACACACACACGCACACACACACACGGGCACACACACACTCATTCATACAAAACAACGTCAAGGAAGCAAGGAATATCAGAGTAAAAAACAAACGGAAGGCCAGAAAAATTATTAATATTTATCAAACAGAATTAGCTTAAGGTTTTTCTTAAAACGTTTCAGACGAAGAAGCTTTATGTCTTCACTTATATCATTTCATCAGGATCCGAGAAAGGTCCCAAATAAATGGAGATCTTAAGTTCCGGGTTGTTTATGTTGCTGTAGCCTCGCGAAAGCCGACCGTAGTATCGCCGATAGCAGTCAGTTTTGTAACCATTCATCTTATACCAACACGTGTACACATTTTGGGTTCTCTACCAGTTTAGATCTGAGTTTTGTGTTCCTGAGAGATTGAAGGTAATGAAGAAAGCAATCTTGGAAAGAGATTTTGAGACATTTGCAAAAACTACAATGAAGGTAATAGTTTTTTTTTATTGTTTTATTTCATTTTTGGTTATCCTGTGTCATGTCACGCGTTGGAAAAAGAGCTTTCTCTACTACCGTACCTTTGCATTACTTTTTCATTGATTAAGCGAGAAAATCCCACGGTATTCTGCGTTGACTGTGAACGTTTAAACATAGTTGGTTACTAAGCGCTCATAAATGCTTATATCCACTTCCTATGTGTTTAATGGAATTGTAAGCTGCGTTTAGTCTACGGGAATTTTTTTTTTTAAGTAATAAGGTTTTTCTTGTGTAGGAAAGCAATCAGCTGCACGCAGTGTGCCAGGACACCTACCCTCCCATAACACCACCATACATGAATCAGACCTCACACGGTGTAGTGCAGCTGGTTACCCTGTGCAACAACTTCTATGGTCAAATTAAGGTAATAAACGTTTAGTTAGCGTGTGTTCAATGGGCCATTTTAGCGCTCTACAAGTTTTGCTACTTACGTGTAATTTACGTGTACTTACAACTATTTAGGTCTCTTTGAGTCTTACTGCGTAGAAAACTTAACTGCTAATCAGAAATTATTAGAATTGCCCTAGAACTCCTTTTGCGTCAACAGTAATCGAACTCTCGTGGTTTGCCTTCTACTGTGCACGCAATTTTTGCTCTTTTTCCCCTTTAATCTGCTTAGCAAATAGAAGGAAAGGAAATGGAATAGAATAGAATAGAAGAGAATATTTATACACAATAAGAATTAAAGCTAAGAAGCTTGTGGGGTCGTGTACTTAACAAAGTAATATCTAGCCAACTAATGATTATACTAAGACACATTTCAAACTAAATAAGAAACTATAATACAGTAAAGCATTCAATTTTCCTCTCAATTTAAAAATACTTGTAATCAGTTAATCTATTCGTAGCCGTCGAACCTGATAAACTAGTAAAAGTAAAGCTTGTGAAGTGATTATTTCTCCTGAGTAGCCTCCTAAGATTCTTAAGGGCGAAACTACCTACATTTTTGACATGATTGTTAACATAGTTCCATAGCACCGAACCTCTATATGCTAAAGAGTCCTTTAACAATCCAGTGTTGAATCTAGGTATGGTTATTGCTTCTTCGTCTCTTAGTCAATAGCTACATTCCCGCCTTATGAATATGCTAATAATTAGAGACCGAGGTAGTGAGACTTTACTTGCTCTATAAAAAAGGTTAACTACTTGAAATTTGTATTCTAAATTGATCGTATCCCATCCTGAAACGTTGAGAGCTACATTAGATTCCGTGTCTTTGGATAAGTTGTAAACAATTTTTGCTGCTCTACAGTGAAGTTTCTGAAAATCAAAGGTGGCATTGGTCAATCGTGTTTACGATGGGCGTGGCTCTAAATTCATCCCCAATTTCCTTGTACCACATTCTCAAATGTGGTATGGTTTGAAATTCAATAACTGAGCTGTTTAACTCGAAAACTTCAGAGTGCATCTCTGGACTGAAGCAGAAACAAGCTATAAGTGACGCAGCCTCATGGTTAGTGCGTTCGACTCCGTATCGAGTAGTCCGTGTTCGAGCCCTAGCCGAGGCATTGAGTTGTGTTTTTGGGCAAGACACTTTACTCTCACAGTGCCTCTCTTCACCTAGGTGTTTAAATGGGCACCGGCGAATTTAATGCTGGGGTTAACCGTGCGATGGACTTGCATCCCATCCAAGGGGGGAGCAAAAATAGTCCTAGTCGCCTTATGTGACGGAGATCGGAGTTAAGCGCCGGTCTGATGGGCCACTTGGCTCATAAATAGACTATTTACAGATCAAACCTCACGAATTACTGTTGACAAACTCTGTTGTATTCTCTCCGTCGTTAGGTTGCCTACACATTTGATGCCGGACCTAATGCGTTCTTGTTTTTGATGGAAAAAGATATTGCAGAAATTCTGTCGCTTATTAGGCACTTCTTTCCTCCAGAAACTGACAGAGGGTAAGTTAACCAGATTAGAGACGGAGAATACGATAAATTAGCCAAATGTAATATCAGTCGAGTGCCCGTTACGTCTTCCTTCGCAAAGAGAAGCTTGGGAGTACAAGAAGTGAGTTTTCTGTTCGCATTCTCTCTTCAATCGAAATGACAACCTTAACCCGAGGGGTTTCGCGGTCAGATTTTTACAAGATGGCGCCTGATTTTCAAGGTTGACAGGTTTAGTTTTATCTTGAAAACTGACCGAGGGAGCCGCAGGGACAAGGCTGACGAGTTGCTTGTCCATCATTGTGGGCATTTGAGTCAGGTTTCCGGGGGAGGGGTATTTTCCCAAATTTGACCGAATGTCTTCCAAGTAGGCACTACTTACTCCAGCGCACACCACTGAGATCACTGATGATTTTAAGTTGATGTCTAGTTGCAGTATGGTCGCCTTGTTCTCACGGCGTTTGGTTTTCAACCTTTGCGAGCGTTTTCTAACATATAATATCCCACCAACAGATTTATTCAAGGACTGGAAATAAAATCTCAAACTGAATTAAACAAGGTATGATGTATTCGTCGTGGGAAGCGTGATTACATGCTCGTGTTAACACAAACTCCCACTCCAGGAAAACAAACCTCGAGTTCCAATCCAATGTTAAGCTCACAAAATATTTTTGGTTTGCAGAATCTTCTGAAGTCGATTACTATTGAACCATCTCCAGGAGCTGTAAAGTACGTGATTTCAACAAAGGTGAGTATGCAAGCCTCTGCTCTTCATCTTTGACAAACAGAACCATTCCGAAAACACGGCGCAGCACACTACTCCGTGGCCAAAGTTTGCCTGTTGCTTTCTCCCTTCTCTCCACGTAAAGGAGATGATTACTCCTCCATCTTTTTTTTCATTGAAAACATTATCTTGTTACAGATCAGCTGAGCAATGCTTGCTGATAAACTTTTCAAATTTAGTGAAAGGTCTGAACACAAGCGAATGCAAAGGGTGCATTCTTCGTGCACAAGCATATGAACTATCCCATGTTTTGAGATTGTAAGCTCGATGATTCATTGAAAGTACGTTTATTGATTATTATTATTATTTATTTATTTTTCTCTCCTAGGTTGGCAGTGGCCCAAGTGAACTTGGCCAAGAATTTAGCCTTCTCGATGAAAATGGGCTGCCCAAATCCTACTGGTAATACTGTCCACTGACGGCCTCTCTCAATTTTAAGAACTCCAACAAGATAGACGCTTTTGAAAGACTTTTTAATATCAAGCCCTGCGTCAGCTTATCTTCAACTGAAAGTTAAAATCTATTTCTCCCGTGCATGGTTCAAAACTAACATCATAGCTAATACATGAAGCATTTTCATTTGCAAGAGTTGAGTCTTGAATCTTAGTTGGCGACTTCACAAAGTATACCCCTTGCTTTGTGTGGCGAACCCAGTTTAATTTCGAGACCTCTAACGCTCCATCTTGGTTCTGCAAGCAAAGAAAAATTCAGTGGATCAATCATATATTTGAACAAATACAACCAATTTTATCAAACAGAGAAACTTTCAAGCGAGTGTCTAAAGAAATCTGATATTGTTTTAACTTTTGCTTTACAACGCTCTCTGATTGGTTTATAAGACTCGCGCCACTTTTTCAACCAATCAGGTGCAAAACTAGAGCTACTCACGACTTCGCCAGTCGAGACCGTGGTTAGTAAGATGTTTCATCTTTGAGTACCTTTTAATTTTTTTTTTTTTTTAATGTTACCCTCCGTCTCAGTCGACCAATATGATTTCATACGGTTTTCGCTGTATGACACACTCAATCAAACGCTTTTAATTCAAACAAATGACATATTAATGTTCTTAAAAAATAAAGAAACTAATGATTTATTCATGTCTCACCGGTTGTAATCCTGTGGTAACGGTTAATTTATCAGTGAGGTGGAAGTCCATCCATATTGCTACACCATGAAAAGTACCAGGCCTAATAAAAGACACATACCCTGAATAAAATTTACAACTGAGGAATATCCGATGTTCCGAGAGGATATCACCATTTTACTGACCAAAAGAATGTCATCCTTCATAAACTCAGTTCTCGGTCTCCGCATCGCGAAATTTTCCCTCTTTATACCTACCTAAGTACGACGACGTTTTCATTTTTTTTTTTTTTTGGGGGGGGGGGGTTGTTTTTTTTTTTTTTCATCAAAATGGTAAAAACCAAAGAGCGCGCTGATTTTAACCCACCGTGGACTACACATAAATGTCAGCCATACTGAAGGAGGCGTCAAACTCAATTTGCTCCACATAGGACTACCCCTTTGTACCCTAAAAGTGATTAGCATCCGATTTCTCCTCACATTATCTCCCGTGAATCAAATATTGAGGTCACAAGATTTCAGGAAATGATCACCAACTAAAGAAGCTCTTGATTATTCGACAAATTCTCTTGGTCAGCACCTTAGAACATGCATAGAAAACAGTGTGGAGAGAGTTCCCAAAATTTCAAGCTAGTAAATCACTGTAGATAATTAATGACCTTGTGAGTTTCGCTTTTCCCTCGCTTGCCATTTTCTGGCTTGGTATATTTGACGTGAAGTCAAATTCCATGAGCGTGAACTCGTTAGTAAGAGCATGGCTGGGATACTCCCACAGGTGATGCGGCTCCAGTGCTATCCCATCACTACTTTCGCTGTTAATTTCTTCATTTGTAATCTTTGATCCCTGAAGGACAACAAACGATACTCGACCTGGCTCTGGTTAAAGGGGAAAGTCTCTAAAGAAACTGTGCTGCTGTGTCGGTGGGGAAGTGTAGCAGGGTGATTTTGGTTTTATCAACTGAGTTGATAATGTAAATTGGCCTCCGGGAAGAGTTTCAAAGCTGAGGTTTCGAGCGTAAGCCCTTCGCCTGCCCAACTCGCACTTAATTTAACTGAGTGCGAGCGATTTAGAAAAGTGAAGGGAGACTTCACGCGCGCACGACACTGAAGAAGGTTTGTGACACGCAGGTGTTTTTTGCGCGACATCCTGGATGACACGCCATTAAGACAGAGCACGTGGAGGTAGTGTGCTTTGATGCTAAACATGTGACTTCTTGGAACTCAAGAAATGAGGTGAAATGAAATCCATTTCCGTTAAACGCAAGACTTGAATTGTCTGTGTTTCTGAAATGGCTTATTTCGATGGAAAAACTATCAGTTCTTTTTCTCATCGCTCAGGGTGCGATTAGTCAAGTTCTCCTTTTAAAGCACTGCAAATTTCAAATAGCAATCTAACTTATAATATAGTGCAAATGACAAAGTTTATGAAGTTATTTTACCTCTATTAGTTTGTCAAACAGTGAGATATCAAATCCTTCAACGATATTCACAGGGGCATGGAATTTCCATAGGTCGTCAAACTCCACTGAAAAGTTAAAGGGAAAATTCCTGAATATCTTTTGTTCTGTTTGAGAAAAAATACTCAGCTAACTAATAATAAAATATGAGTAATCTTCTCCACCGAAAAAAACAAAAAACAAAGCACTTTGCTGAGTAATTTGGTAATATCAACTAAGTTGAAATTGTAAATTGGCCACCGTAAACGCTCGAAACCGGCGTCAGCATTTTAACACTTTACGGTGGCCAATTTACAATTTCAACTTAGTTGATATTACCAAATTACCTTGTTACCCCCACCAACGCAGCACCACAGTTTCTTTAGAAACCTACCCCCTTTATTCACTTTGCTGAGTGTCTAGTTTTACGACGCGAAAGGCGCAAACTGAGAAAAAATGCAAACGGAATCTTGTAAGAAATGCAATATACGTTTACAAATACTTGACGCAGCCACCCGACCCTCTTAGATTCCTCCCCTCTCACTAAAAATATTTTAAAGTTATTGTATGAGCCTAACGAGCCTTTCTTTATTTTTCTGTTTCGTAATTTCAAATTCACCCACCTACTATTGCTTTCAAGGTTGCACCCTTGGGTAATATCTTGACTGTTGGTTTGCTCATTCTAGCAGCGCTGGCTGCAGCGTACCAGAAGTACAAGTTGTGCCACGGGAACAGGCCACTCGTGAAAAACGGTTCACCGCAAATGACATCAACCTGAAAAGAGTATACACACACATCAAAATAACTTTTGTTGACCGCTACAGCAGCACGAAATATCTATAATATTGCAGACATCTATAATAAATCATTACTATCTTGCCACAGGCTTTAAAAATGATTTCAGATGTGGCTTTCTCCGTCAACCCGTGCTCGCTCGGAACACTCGCCGGCGGCTTGGGGATTCCGCGGGAAAAAAATATAAATAAATTAAAGATTGTGACCAGTTTATATGTTCCATAATTTCCTGTGGCACGAAAAGTGTTAACTATTAGTTTTCACAGTGATGGGTTCACAAAAAACGTTTAGAGGACGGTAAAATGTTGATAACCGCAGAGAGTTTTGCGAGTTTATTTGTAATTCTTCACTACTTTTTTTTGTTGGCCAAATAATAAAGCCTTTTTCGACTAAGTTCCCTCGCTCAAATTGGCAGGGTGTTGGTCAACTTTTTGCCATTTCTTCATTTTTTCTTTTGCTCAAGCAAAAAAAAAAAATTAAAAAATTAATTTATTTTCCAACATCCAGTCACCTTGATAGAATTTGACGGATATAAATGTGCACTCGTGCACTCGTGACGGTAAAAATCCAAATGCAGCCTTCATGCAGTGTTCACACTTTTTTCACGTGAAATTTGCTTTGTGAAAGACATGTGGAAAGCCTTTGACGGTCATGTGGCAAATGTCACCCCTTGCAAAGAGTGTTTATCACGTGCTTTTCAACTAGTTCTTGAAGCCGACATGAGAGAAACTCTGATTTACACGTGCAACCATAAGCCTCGACAATTCGCCGTCTTTTTTCGGTTTTCGTTTCTTTAACAAACTCCGCGGTTTTTCTCACTAGTTTTTGCCGGCTACTCGTGAGTGCGGGTCTGTATTACTACGCATGCCTGGTAAACAGCACGGGCTACATAACTGTTGCTACCTGGATAAAAAGCTGAAAAACTCAAACGACTATAATACAAATACACACAGGATCACGACAAGGAAAATAATTATCATCTATATAATTATTTTTTGCTTGTTCGTGGAATACATGATCATAGTTATTTTTAGTTTACCTGGACAGTCGATAAGTCCTTAACCTGTAGGTCCGATTCTTCTTGACTAAGAATCTCTATTTTATCAGCTACTCCATTTAAATCCATTATCTGAAAACGAAAGAGAACAAGAAGGTGAGAGAGTGCAACGATTCTGAGAGATGTCATAAAGAGATTTGATTTTGAAAACAACTTCTCCTTGTCGGCAACTTAACAAAGTACGGGCAGCAGTATCGAGGAGTGCAATAAATTTTAGTACACTCGTCGATAAAAATCAAATATTACATAGATATGTGAAACACAACAGCAAGTATAGGGACATGAACGACTAAGTTCGAATAAAATGAAAGTTGCAGCTCAAATGCTAACATAGATATGTGAAACACAACAGCAAGTA